CAGGACTGCCTGTGTTTTGCCTTATGAAAGGTCTCAAAAGAACAGCTCTGCCCACCTCAACACAGGCTACTTTATAAGAAACACTCAGTATAATTCCTTATCCCCATCTTTTTTTTTTGAGACAGAGCCTCAACCTATCACCCTGGGTAGAGTGCTGTGGCATCACAGCTCACAGCAATCTCCAACTCCTGGGCTTAAGTGATTCTCTTGCTTCAGCCTTCCAAGTAGCTGGGACTACAGGCTCCCGCCACAATGCCTGGCTATTTTTTTGGTTGTAGTTGTCATTGTTGCTTGGCAGGCCTGGGCTGGATTGGAACTCGCCAGCTCTGGTGTATGTGGCTGGTGCCTTAGCTGCTTGAGCTACAGGGGCCGAGCTCCTCATTCTCATCTTTCAAATACAGTTTCAGAGCTTGTGGCTCCCAAATAGCAGAGCAGCAGAGCAGCAGACAGCAGTGGGAGTCCTGTGGTGGTGCGTCCTGGGAAGCAGGACAGATGAAGATGAGCAGGGAAGAACGCTGGCGGCAGGGCATGCTGGACAGAGCCGTTTAAGCAGGAGAGGTAAAGGAAGATCTGAAGTCAGCCTTACATACCAGCATCAACTGTGTGCCTAACAGGTGCCACACTGAAAACCAAGTTCAGAGAAAGGAACTCCAGAAGATGGACAGGGAGTGGAGCCAAAAGCAACCGACACAGCCCTCCATTAGACTACACAGTTCTAGAGGTCCTAATACCAGAATGAGTTAATGGGGAAAACACCAACCTGATGTCTATGAAAAAATAATGTACCACGAGGGTCGCGGAGGTTATTCTGAAGGGCAAAAGTCTAACTCTAAAAATAATCTACTAGGAAACCCACAAACGTGTCTCCACATGAAAACTATATGATTATGATGTGTTAATACAGGTTCATCAGTTGTAACAAATGGACCACTCTGGTGGGGGACGCTGATAATAAGGGAGGCTACAAGGGAGGGTGTGGGGGTGGGGGTTATAGGGGATCTTTCTGTACTTTCCTCTTAGTTTTGTTTGAACCTAAAGCTGCTCTAGAAATAAAGTCTCCAAGAAAGGACTATATTAAACAGGGGCAGAAAGTCATGTACAACTGACTGAGATGAAAAGACAACAGGATAAGAAGAAAAAGGAGGTGAATAACATGAAAAACAAAAGCATAACACAGAACTAAAGCCACCATTAGAGGCAATCTGGAACGGGAATGAAGCTGTGGAATATCTTGTCCTCTTGCTCAAAACCAAAAAGATAAAAATAAAGAGAGATGGTGCTAAGAACAGGGACAGGAGAAGGGTTGCCAAGTCAAGGGTGTTTCCAGCAGTGTGTGTGGCTCAAACCTGTGATCCCAGCACAGTGGGAGGCTGCAGGAGTGCTTGAGCCCAGAAGTTCAAGATCAGCTTAGGCAATGCAGTGAGGTCCCATCTCTATAAAACATTTTAAAATTAGCCAGGTGTGGTGCACATGCCTATAACCCTCGTTGCTTGGGAGGCTGAGACAGGAAGACTGCTTGAGCCCCTAAGTTTGAGGGTATAATAAGCTATGATAACATCACTGCATTCTCGCTCTGGCAAGAGTGAGATTCCGTCTCAAAAAGAAGTAATTAAAACTCTAAACTAAATAAAAATAAAAATAAACTGGAAGTTAAAAAAAAAAAAGAATGAATGGGCTCTCTGTGGGTCAGGGGGTGGGGGAAGAAGAAATGATGGTATTACTTTTATGAGAAAGAAAAAAACACATTAATTTAAAACCATGTACATAATTTACACTAATTACATATATATTATACCAGCCGGGGTCCTCAAACTTTTTTTTTTTTTTTAACTTTTTAATCAGTGCTTTTTTTTTTTTTTAAATTAAATCATAGCAGTGTACATTAATACTATCATGGGGGTACAGTGTACTGTTCCTGTATACAATTTGAGATACTTTCATCCAACTGGTTAACATAGCCTTCATGTCTTTTCCTCAAACTTTTTAAACAGGGGGCCAGTTCACTGTCCCTCCGACCGTTGGAGGGCTGGACTGCAGGCCCTGGGCCAAGTCAGCTGCTAAGGCAGCAGTGGCAAAAACACCTGGAGGGCCACATGTGGCCCGCGGGTCGTAGTTTGAGGATGCCTGATACAAACCATCATACATCGGATGAATATTGGAAAAAGTACAAGCCGATGTTAACAGGGGGTATCATAAATTTGAGTGCAATGGTAAGGTAAATCCCTCCCCCTTTGGATATGAGGGATACATACTGATCTCTGAGAGGTCAAACACAATGAGTCTGATCTGGGCGTGAAAAATCACTTGAAAGAGATAAGTTAGATCCCAGGCCAGATATATTGGACTACCATCTATATGAATATATAATACTAATATATCTACAGAAGATATCAAGTAGAATTGCTATTGGTTAAACCTGAAAGAAACAGAAAAGGAGAGCTATGGAAATAAATGTTCTCTCCAGCATCATGTGGGAAGACAGCCCAAGAATCCAAGTACTCTTACCTTCAGGATAATAGCAGGATGACTTGAGCTTAGGGGTTCAGGATAACAGTGCACCACTGCACCATTCCAGCCCCAGTGAAAGAGTGAGATCTTGTCCCCCACTGAAGTTTTTTATTTATTTTTATTTTTTTGAGACAGAGCCTCAAGCTATCCCCCTGGGTAGAGTGCTATGGCTTCACAGCTCACAGCAACCTCCAACTCCTGGGCTCAAGCAAATCTCCTGCCTCAGCCTCCCAAGTAGC